ATTTAACTTTAATGCTTTCCATGTAGTATGATTAATCGTTAAAACTTATAGGTGACACGTCCATATTAAAATATTGTACCATAATGATTTGATGGTGCATGATGGTACGCCCATAATGAAGGATTGCAAGAGAATGATATTCACTTTAATTTCGTTTTAGTTTTACACTTCACTTTTAAGCTTTTATCAACTCTTTTAGGAACTGGTCATAAAGTAACGGCTAGGGTGGGCTGGAGGTAAATCACAAATTTTGCCAATAAGTTTGGTGGCTCATCTTAGGATGTAGATAAAAATTTCAAAGCCCATCTAATCTTGCCAAATTTATTTCATGACCCACCCACCCAATCTAAATTGGGAGAATACAATTTTATAATAAAAAAGAACCTTGCAGGCATGAACATTGTAAATATACACCGGCACTGTAATGTATTGACATACATAATTCCACCAAGCTTGACCAACACATTCATCACCAATTACAATATACTGAGCTGCTCTCCAGTTGGTTGTATTTGCTGTGATTCAACCACTTCTTGTTGTTGTATAAAACAAAATACTGTCTTCAATAGCATCATTTGCATTTGATAATTTGGATAGTTTTGTTTACTTTTATTATTAATATCTTTATATAATATATAATTAACATGGGTTTTTGTTTGGTGGTCCAACCGTGGACATACCAAAAAATTGGCGGCCCATCGAAACAGCCCAAAGATTTTCCATGGCCCATCCCAATCACTCCAGCCCACCCTAGCAGTTACTTTATGACCGGTCCCTTAATACAACTTTGAGAAATTGTTGTCTTCTCTCGATCCAGTTTTAAAAATCGAATAGAAATTTGACAATCACTTGCAAATCACTTGCGTGGGCTACGTCTTGCATGGTTCGAAATTTCAAATTTAAAATAGCTGCATGTCCCCTGACTTCAAATAATAAAGAATTATCATCATAGTTTAACATCTAAATCTAAATTAATATCGCTTTACAAGTGAATAACTATTTCGACATTTAAAATTAAGCCAGCGCGTAGAATACTAGAAAATTTTAGCGACGTTGTTTAAATGATATCTTTATGTCTTTAATTCTTTATCTGATTTCTGCATCAAATATTAAAATCCTCTTAGGGGAAATAGAATATATAATGAACGAATTATTATATTAATGTCATCATAATAAAATGCTTGAATGAGCAAGCTTCCTTCCTATCTGAGGTAATATCTAAGGTACAGTAATTAAAGACCAGGTTGCATGCCGCCACCCACGTATAAACGCCAGGCTACAACAGAGGGCAAGACACTTTACCCAGAACGTAGATACCGTATTTTCTTTAGTTAGCCACTGGGAGGCTTTTTTCAAGTACAGCTAGGGTGTATAAAAAAAGGTAATCGAACTTTGGCGCGCTATTGTACGTGAATTACTCGGTGTATGAACAAATTCTTTTCATATTCGGAAAGATCAGGCTTTTGCTATTGAATGACATGTTTTTCATGCCAATTGGAGAAAAAATAAGCAAGTACGAGTCCGATAAAAATTGTTGGTCAGAATCGCATATTTCGTAGTTCGCATAGCCATAGGTCACAGGGCCTCTTTTAACATATAGACTGGGGGAGACATGTCCCCCCAGCCCTCTTACTAGCCCCTCCAGTCGGCAATTTTGTCCCCCCCCCCCCAGTGAGGTCCCTAAGAACTACCTGCAGTTGGTGGTCAACCTGCATGCAATTATGTATCAAAGTGAGAAAATGATGTTAAGTTGTTAACATTTCTGAATTTGACCATCATCTGCATGCCCGTAACTAGCTATGAGTCAACCGAGTCAGTTGACTCGGTAGGCCAGAATTTGGGGACTGAAATTTAAACATCGCCAGAAACCTAAACCATAACTGAAATAATTTGCCCGTGGAACAAGGCATGAAATGGCAGTTTAGGATGAAATTATTGTTTAATTTTTCCAAGCAAAGATACTCCAAATAAGAGACCACCCTATCTTGCTCTTCAGGACACTGAGAAGACGAATGCATCGATTTCATGTACCTCAATACATGCAATACAGTACTGTAGAATTTGAAGTATGGTGAATAATAATGCTATACCACACACATTTTCACTACCGCATCATCACACCATTCATATACATTTGGGAGACTATGAAATTGCAGTAATTGTGTCATTGTTTATAAGGTTAATTTCTTGTTAAAAAACTCATCAAAATGCTGGAAATAGCTTATCTGAGCTTCAAGAAA